CCTAGCAACGATCTGATGAGAAACAAGCAGCTTCAAGTTCCGCCCTGACATCGGTTACCTAGCAACGATCTGATGAGAAACAAGCAGCTTCAAGTTCTGTCCTAACATCGGTTACCTAGCAACAACCTGATGAGAAACAAGCAGCTTCAAGTTCCGCCCTGACATCGGTTACCTAGCAACGATCTGATGAGAAACAAGCAGCTTCAAGTTCCGCCCTGACATCGGTTACCTAGCAACGGTCTGATGAGTAACATGCGCAGCAGCAGTTTAAGGTTTTTCCCCTTTGCCTCATAACTGCTAAAAATAATAAACGACGGCACGGAGTGAAGTCTGGACAAAAACAGGAAATGTTATCCCACCACTTTGGCAGTACTGCATATATATATATAAACAGACTCATCAATCAATTATCGATATTGGCTGACATGAAACGCTTATATTATGACATGTCGTCCAGCCCTAGGTTTACCTGTAAACCTTGCAAAATACGATTATGGTGAATTTTTGACTTTTTTCTTACAAAAAATGAGTGTTTATAACTTGGAGTGTTTATAACTGCAGGCATTTTACTGTTTTATCTCAGATATTTTATAGGTATGTTTACATTGCAACTCAACAAATCACAGTTTTACTTCTTTAATGTTTTAAATTCAAACAAGTTGCATAATCCCAGCGGCTGGTAAAAGAGTTGTGCTGAAATTCTTCAAACTGACCTTTTTCTGCTCTCTCTGCCACAGTTAATATTTTCATGGCTCTTTATTGGAGCTGTTCCTCGGCTCCAGCTTCATAAAGGCTTTTAAAGCCCTCCTCCAGCAGATGGATGCGTTTCAGGTCACAGCTTCAGCCAAGTTGGCGAGTCAATCCCAAATGTGGTTTTATGATCTACGCTCCATCCTGCAGCGATGGCATGCTCGTGTGAAACTGTGCCCACTCAGACATTTTTCAGCCCTGTCCGTCTTTCTGGTGTTGTTTGAGTCTGTTTTGCCCTGTTTTGCGTTTCCTGTAGGAGCCGTAACGATGCAGGCAGCTGCAACTGTGCTGAGCGTTTTCCTCAGCTTGGACTTCCTGTCAGCTCAGTCCCAGTCAGACCGCATGAACAGCAGCAACGTTCAGACTGGTGAGACTGGGAGGAAGAATCAGCCGCACATCATCTTCATTCTGATCGACGACCAAGTGAGTTTCTGGAAGAAAGTTTGATTTATTCACCTTACAAGTACTCAGACTTGAAGGAAACATTAATTTTTGCTACAGTTTAATAGCCTGCATATTGTAACAAGTCTATTAGTGTTCAGCAAGTCAATTTTTCTACTGCAAAATCCAAAATCTTACCACGTATTTTTGGTTTGGTTTCTAGTACAACTATCTTAAACTAATTTATGCAAAAATGTCACAATTTGCAGATATAACGTTAGCACCTTGGGAAAACCAAGTTAGGCTGTTTATCTGTAAGAAAAATATTGTTTTGGTGGTTTAAAATACAAGTATTTTTGGTTTACTTTCTAGTGCAAATGTCTTAATTCCTGAAATAAGACAAAACTAATTTCCAAGTAACTTTCCTGCAAGATATGGGAATTTTTTTCTTATTCAATAATTATTTAATACTGATGAATAAAATGCTAGTTGCACTGTTTTTGCAGAGTTGACACTAGGTTCAATGCTAAACTCAACTCTAAGTATTTTGTCTGGTTTATAATGCAAATATCTTGGTACACTTGAAATAAGACAAAACTAACTTGCGAATAATTTTTCAACAAGATATAGTAGTTTGTTTTAGGTCAACAATCCCTCAGTATTGATACAAAAAGTACTAGTTAATCTGGCAGATTATTTGACTGTTAACATGGGAAAAATGTCTTGTAAGTGAAATAATCTGCCACATTAACTAGTACTTTTTAAATTTAACATTAAGAAATATTTTTTACTTAAAACAAGCTCCTACACCTTGTAGAAAAGTTACTTTTAAGTTAGTTTTGTCTTATTTGAAGACTACTAAGACATTTACACTAGAGACTAAAAATACTTGCTAGGATTTTGAGTTTTTGCAGTGTAAATGCAACTATCCCCAAATCTATTTTTTTTATTTTTTATTTTTTTGCAGATAAACTGTTTAAATCGGTTCTTAAGGTTGCTAACTTTACTATGACAGTTTTTTGTGAATATAAATTTAACTCTGTGATATTTGGCCTAAAACCGTCTCAGTGCTGCCCCCTTTGGGTTAAATTGAAGCTATTGCAGTTGAATTTTCCTGTTGGTTCCAGCAGTAAAGTTTAGTTAGCATTAAAATGCAAAGCAAATATAAAGAAATGAGCTGGTTTTAAATGTTTGCACAGAATTTATGTAAAAAATAAAAAATGTTTCCTGACTGCAGAGGTCAATGAAATGTTGATGTGGTCACATTAAAGGGCATTTAAATAAAATACAGTTTGGATAAAACTCATAGTAACCACAGCGACTGCATAGGAGTAAAGCAGAACTCAATCTGTGACAGGGCTACAACGACATCGGCTACCACAACCCCACCATCATAACCCCAACTCTGGACAAACTGGCAGCAGAGGGCGTGATACTGGAGAACTACTACGTTCAACCGATCTGCACGCCGTCACGCAGCCAGCTGATGACCGGCAGGTATACGCACCGCTTCAGCAGCCGATGACGGCTAAACCTTTTAAAAAACCCTCAATCTGGAGCCACTGAATTCATTCCCACCGTCCAACAGACCGTCAGTTTGATTAGGGCTGAAATGATTTATCGTCACTTATTGTGATTAGCTGACTCGTTTAGTAATTAATTAATCCTTAACTGAAGTATACAGACTAAAAAACGACATATGCTGAAATAACAACACACTCGGAGCTGTAATTAAGCCAAAACTGTACAGAAGTATAAAAATTTCCCACTTAACAATAAAAACAACCAAAATCTCCTATTGAGCACATTTTGCTATCCAGTTATTAATCAGTTAATCCAATAAATATTCAATTAATCTGCCAACGATCAAGTGTTCAATAAATGGCATGATTACTATATAATCATAAATGAAATTTTTATATAAAAATATGTATATAAGCATCGTATTTAAATACAACCAAAAAATTAAATCAGTAAATAAAATAATAATAAACATATACGTGGAAATATGTTAATCTATAATTTAATCTGTAACTGAGTCCAGAGAAAACTTAGGTTTAAACTTTGTCATTCTTGTTATTGTTTTCTAAATCTGATAACATATTCATATTATATTATGAATATAATGGAGTAAAAACAACAAACTATCAACTCAAATTAAACTTGTATTCTCTCCAATGGCCAGCAGGGGGAGACAAGCCAGCTAAAAGAATATTAATATTTCATCCAGGAATAAAAGATAAAATAAAACCATGAAGATTAAAGCATTTTATGGTTAATTTGTTAGCTTTGAAACTTTCTGGAAGGAGTTTAACATAAAACTGGAAGTGGAAGATTTAGTGACATCTAGTGGCTCAAATGTCAAACTGCAGCCATCTGAACTCAAAACATGTTTTTCTATGTATCAAACACGTGTAAAGCCAACTTTACTGTCAGTCATCGCTGTAATTCTGACGTTATTCACATTTTATGTTTATTTCTTTCATGCAGCTGTTGTTCATTCTGCAGATCAGTTACAGCTGTACTCAGATACGAGTCGCTCTAATGTCTAACAGCTGCTTCAGAGAAAACAACGGATAGCTGCTGAGTCCGAGGCTCTGACTCAAACATGATTAATGTCGTCTTACTGTGAGGGATGACGACAGATCTTGTTTTCTTTGAGATATCAGATCCACACAGGATTACAGCACTCCATCATCAGACCCAGGCAGCCCAGTTGTTTGCCCTCACACATGGACACGCTGCCCGAGAGGCTCCGCCAGGCCGGCTACGCCACACACATGGTGGGCAAGTGGCACCTGGGCTTCTACAGGTGAGTCTAACGACGCATCTACATTTCTATACAGAACAAGAAATTACATCTGAGGGCGTTTAAGCTGTAATGTCGAAATTGAATTGGTGCTCAAAGGCTGCGGTTTTTCAAGGGCAGATATTTGGATTCAAGTCAGCGCTTTAGCATTAGGTTCTGCTAAACACAGTGCTGGTGTGGAGCTTTAGCGTTAGCTTCCACGTAACACCATAATAGTGAAGGGCTTCAGCATTAATTTCTGCTGGACACTGTGCTGGTGTAGGGCTTTAGCATTAGTATCCACTAAACACCATGCTACTGTAGGCCTTTAGCATTAGCATCCGCTAAACACCATGCTACTGTAGGGCTTTAGCATTAGCATTCGCTAAACACCATGCTACTGTAGGGCTTTAGTATTAGTTTCTGCTGAACACTGTGCTGGTGTAGGGCTTTAGTGTTAGCAGAACTAATGTTTATGATTAGTGCTTTAATCATAAACATTAGTTTTATGATTAAAGCACTAACCATAAAACTTTAATGATTAGGTAGCAAAGTCGAATCCTGCCTTTTTAGCTAGCATTCGACTTTGATGTCAGTTACTGGTCATAAAGTCTAAAAAAATGTTTCCTACATAAGAGTCGGTTAGGATTCCTTCTTTTCTCAAAATACAGAAAATCAATATTTGGAAATATTTAAGTGTAACCAAGTAAAAGTACAACAAATTAGTAAGAGTGGTAATACTTGGCTAGCTCTGATTGGCCAGTACAGCAGCTGGTTACCATGGAGACGGTATGCTGGCTAGCATAGCGATGCAGCTGACCAAGCAGCTGCACCGAAAACTGGGGTCCAGCTTCCTGCCATGTCCCAATATCTGCAGGAAGTAGTGGCGGATCAATCAGTCCAAATCAGTATTGCAGTTTCTCAACTCTACGATAAAAAATTTGCTTAGATATTCTGTCAAATTATAATATTTTTGCACTTTATTTAGAAAACAATCCACAAAAATTGTTGTTGAGACCTGTTTAGGTTTTAACAAAATAATTAAAAGGAGAAACTACAAAAGTGCCTAAAGGTCAGAAGTCTGATGATTTATCAAACTAAAATAAAAAGTATCAGTAAATCTGGCTCTGATATCTGGTATCGGATCGATGCCACATTATGCAGCATCTCTCTCCTCTAGCAGGAATACTCAGCTTCATTTGTTTCTTCTGAACAAGGCAGAAACAAATTTAATCTATTGATTGCCTCTAATACAATTAATAACAGTAAATTCCTTGTTGCTTGTTGTTCAGGAAGGCCTGCCTGCCCACCAGAAAAGGTTTCGACTCTTTCTTTGGTTCATTAACAGGAAGTGTGGATTATTACAAGTTAGTATAACTTTACACATTAACTCAGTCTGACTCCAGGTTAGTTTTTAAACTTCTATGTCTGTTGCCCAGCTATCGGTCCTGTGACGGCCCTGGTTTGTGTGGCTATGACCTGCATGACAATGAGAGCGTCGCATGGGGCCAGGAGGGAAAATACTCTACGATGCTGTTCACCCAGAGAGCCAGGAAGATCCTGGAGAGTCGCAGCCCGATGGACGGGCCGCTCTTCCTGCTGCTGTCCCTGCAGGTATCAGGACATCTGTGCAACGTGACATTAAGGTGGAGTTCTAGTTTACGCCTGGATGGAAGGACAGAGTTCATTAAAGTGTTTCTGAACATCTGAAACCCATTTAGAGATTTGTTTTCCACATTCAAACATCTGCAGAATTAAAACCAGACTCAGGAAGAGTAATTTAAGATTACATTTGTTTATATATCGTTTATTTTCTCTCCATTGGCTGGCTTTAACTGGACAGGCCTTGAGAAATGTGCATCTTGACAAGAGACTTGAAACATAGTTGGAAGCCTCAGATTAAATATATTAGAAATAAAACTGCAAAAATGACTGGAATATTGTTTAAAATAAGAGATTTAGTACATATGAAAAGCTTGCATATTAAAAATGCCCTATTTGTCATGTTGCTAAGAAATTAGGGCAAGACAATAAATCAATAACAATATAGATCACAATAGACATGTCATCAATATCATTACATATTCAGTATATAAAATATCCATAGAACTGCACAGCATTCTGGGAGAAGTAGGCAGACAAAAGACTTTAGCTAAGCTGAGCTAAGCTGGGTCAGTGGGATCACTCAGTCTTTGGTTGCCTGGCAACAACCTGCTGGGTAACCAGCAGTTCCAAGTCCCCTCCCCCAACTCTGGTTACCTAGCAACGACCTGTTGAGTAACTGGCGCAGCAACAGTTTAATGTTTTTCCGCCGCATCTCATAACTGCTTAGAAATAAAAACAGGACAAAACAGGAAAGTTCATTCTACCTGTTTCGTAGTATTTCAGATATTTAAAACAAAAAACTAATCCAATAATTATTGATATCGACCTTATGAGAAATATGAAGACATGTAAATAAAACAACTATGACACATTAAGTAAGCTACAAAAAAGCTATTATACTTTTTAATAAATTTTTATTCAAATTAAAACTTTAAAATTTAAAGGTGTAAAAATAAAAATACTAGAAATGATAAAGCGTTGAATAAAAATCTTCCTTCTGCAACATAGAAATGATTTA